ATCATCAGCAGAGGGAACCCTGATTTTCATGCTTCTTTAGGGCAATAAATCTATAAATATGCGACTATCGTTGAAAGAAATTTTTCAGATGTATTCTTATCTTTGCTTCTGATGTGTAGTCTTGAAAGAGTAAACGAACTACATATATGCTTTACAAACCGGTTGAGTAGCAGCATCACTATAATCGGTAACTATCTTCGACCCAGGATTTTTAGGTTTTTCCAATGTACCCACATGTTTTGATGCATAAGTAGTTGACCCTAACATGTGTTTAATACCATCGACTTCGCGGCAAGGTCGCCCCATTGCTTGACATTTCTGGCACAAATGTTCTTTATGCTCACCGTTCGAATTCGAAACATTCGGTTTCTTCTTATGATCGGCCTTGTGTGTATTGATAACGTTTTGATCGTCTAAATCATCAGGATCTAGAGGATCGCTGATGTTATATGATTTACAGTTTCCGCATTTTTCCCTACTTCTTGAATAACATGAATACCAGAATGCACTACAATCATTGCAAATATAAGCGAAATTTTTCGAGAGATTGCTTGGATATACAAGAGTATCACAGTCTGCACAGGTTTGACCAGAGTGAGGCCAAGCCTTAGTACTCTTCCAGGTTCTTTTGCATTGAGAGCACCGAAACACTCCGTAGCATGGACGGTTTCGACCAGGACTTTCGACATCCATCATGCTGTTTTCTTGCGCGTATCACCAATTTCATAAAAAGTGAACTTAAATAATGAATATAAATGCATGAAACAAAATTATACAAAACATTTTTGTCTAACACTCTTCTTTTCTTTCTCCTCGGTGTGGTTTTTCATTTGTGTACACTTCTTTATTATTCTCTGCGCCTATGTCTTCCTTCTTTGTAAGCGTTTCTTTCTTTTTTCTGTGTGCGTCGCTTTCTTTTGAGTAAGATTGTTTTAGTCATCTTAAGAGAAGAAAGAAATGAATGTGTCGTGGTGAAAATAAAACACCGTTGAGTAAGCCTTCATTTCTTTCCCTTAGTTTTTGAAATATAGTCTTGCTTAGTGTGTTTCCAACACTCTTACTGACGTAAAAAAAGCGACGCACAGAAAAAAGAAAGAAACGCTTACAAAAAAGGCAGACACCGCCGCAGAGAAAAATAAAGAAGTGTACACTAATCAAAAAACGCACTGAGAAGAACAGTGAAAAGAACAGTCTTAGACAAAAAATTATATAGTATATTATATTATA